GCGCGCGGCTGCTGAGCCAGGGCCGCGGGCGCCGGCGCGCCCTGTCCAGGTCCACCGGCTGCACCTTCCTGCTGTGGGAGCACAGGTACGACTCGCCGTCCTCCAGGTCCTCCAGCCTCGTGATGCCGTGCCTCCCGCGAGGGGTGCTGATGTTGCGCACCCCGAAGGGCAGGGGCACCCTCTTGGACAAGGTGTCCAGCAGAGCGTCGAAGGTCTTGAAGGAGCGAGGGTTGACCACCACCCTGACTCCGCCGAACTGCGGGTCTCCGCTCTTGTAGAAGCTGATCCGCTTGGCCACCACCGGGTGAGTGACGCCGAGGTGGCGAGGGACAGAAGCCTGGCCTCCGGAAGAAGTCGGGTGAATCATGGAAAAGCCAGTAGATGGAGTGTCACTCATTTTGCTCGAGACCTAGACAGTGAGGAAGACTGCTTAGCTCAAGGGTAGCAACGTCGCAGAGAACACGTGACATGCTAACGCATGCTAATGTATGCTAATTATGATTGACGTATTCGAGATATTTCCTAAGATTGCATTCATTCACTTATTTCACTGTCAATTTTCAAAGCCGAGTTTAAGGAAGTACAATAAAAAGAGTAAAATGAGAATACTTATAATTCTAAAATTAAAAATAATCTGCAGACACTAATAAGGGCCAGTGTAAATAATGATTATACACCCATGCAGTGGAAAACTATTCAACCCTTAATCATGGCTGTATTTTTTGGCATGACCATGACATATAACTAAGTGAAAAAGCAATTTGTGAAACGCATCGGATATAACATCGGTTTATTTGTACACATACTTATTACATAAGTGGGAAAAAGTCCAGCAATACCCCAGCATTGATGGTAGTTATCTTAAGATGAAAAAGCTATTGAAAATATTTATGGTTTTTGTTTTTTATGATATTTTGTTTTATTTTTGTTTTTCTTTGCAGTGCTGGGAGTCAAACCCAGAGCCTCACACATACTAAACAAGCACTTCACCACCAAGCTTATGTCCCCAGCCTTATTTGTGTTGTTTTTGTACATGCTAAACTTTGTGAATCTTTACACTTTACCAAAGTTATTCTACAATTTTTAAAATGGCCAAAAAAAAAAAAAAAAAAAAAGACACAAATTAGACATTATCCAAAGAGAAAAGTAAGAGGTTTTTCCAATTCATGAATTTAGTCTTGCATGTATGGGTAGTCAGGAGAAAGAGGAGAAAGTTTTAAATTTCACATTATGAACGGAATGGAATGAAATTAGTTTATCTGGAAGAATATGTACCTAACATTGAGTTCTAAGAGAAATGTACTACACAGACCCTTAAGTAAGGGCCAAATTAAGATAATGTCATGCTTCCACTACAGAGTGGAGTAAAATGCAATCAAGTCATCCGACGTAGCACTTGTCCTACTTTGGAAAATACCAAACAAATGTTCTTTGACAGCGTTCTATAGGCTGCTAAAAATGACACAGTCTGGATACTGCTTGCATTAGTGGTTCTAAAAGGAAAATTTCAGGAAGGAATTCAAGAAGAGCCATTTTTCAGCCAACTACAAACTTTTTCCTTTACCGTTTCTCAGGAGAGCTAGAATCTGGCTGACAAAAAAAGGAGCAGCTTGGGGAGAGTTTCTCTGGCTCTGGACTTGTTTGTCATTTATAGTATTTTGTAGCTATCATCTACTGTTTTAAGTCAGTTTAATTATTAGTGTTCTGACAGAGTACGAAAGCCCTGAAACCTTGAAACAAATTGAACGAACTAAATAGTTGTAATTGGTATGATAGAGCTAGGAAAAAAAAAAATATTTGCACTGTAAGTCTGGCCCAAATCACTTACTTAAATTGTCTGTAAGTTGTTAACTAAGAGTCTTCCTGTATCTCCAAATTGATTTTCAAATCTTACTTATATGCCATCTGGAAAAAACATTTGAAGATCGGCCTAGAAATTCGATGACGCCCCTCTCCCTTTTCCAGAGGTTTAAAGTGATTATAATTCTTAAGCCAAGAAGGGCTGCAGTAGCAGGCATGTGCATCAGAAGCTCCAGAATCCAGTTTTGCAATGCAGTCAGCAAAACTGTGAGCTCTTCTCATCCTCATCTGATAAACTGGCCTGACCTTGGGAAGGCTGTTTATCTCCTTGCCCTCACCGGCTATAGGGAGATAAGGGGCTACTTAACTGGAACAGGAGGGCAGTTAGAAGGAATAACTTCAATGTTCTATACCAAACTAAGAGCTATGTCTGTTTATTAATTGGATGTTTCAAAATAGCTAGTAGAGAGGATTTTAAGTCTACTCAATACAAAGAAATGGTAACTGCCTAGGGCAACACATATGTCGTTCTCCCTGACCTGATCATTGTGCATCCTACGTGTATACTGGATGTCACACTGGATGCCCACTGCTGCGTGCCTATTAAAAATAAAAATGTGTTTTAAAATAGATGAATTCCTTCGGTATTTAAATAAAAGATTTCGGAATTCTTTGCCTCTAGCACTTTTTAAATGGGTTCATCACGTTTTTATTTGGAAATATTTCACAGGAACAGTACTTGAGACACATTTTTGCCTCCTTTTGAAAAATGGTATTTTATGAGATATGATCAAGAAATGTGGTAACGTTTTTAAAAATGTATTATGATAAAAGTCTCATGAGTGTGTGGTTGTGCTGTCGTGACTGCCTCTATGTCCTGAGTCAATTCAGAGTGCTTACCTTTCGTGGTCATTTTGGCTTCGGGAAAGAGCCTAAAGTCCCCCAGTGCCAGATCTGGCCTATAAAGAAGGTGAGGATGCACTGTAATGCCTTTGCAAGCCAGCCTCTGGCACTGGGCAGCTGTGTTCATTATTTTTTGATCACATCTTGTAGAGACACTCACAGAAGGAGAATTGCAGGAAGGCTTCAGAAAGTGGCAATAATATACAGCATGCGTTTTCCAGTGCTCTTGAGCATGCCATGAGATAGATGATTGTGTGCTTGGGCGTGCATGGGGTATCGGTAATATCATAATTACTATGACTGCCTGGAACGGAAAAGTCAGAAAGCTCACTAGGCTTCCATGTTGACCTTTGGCCTCCAACTTGTCTTCATCCATAATAAAAATGATGTTTGACCTCAAAATAAAAGTGGCAAGAAAATACAAAATGATTTTGGTCTATGTGGCTTTTGGGGATAAATATATTCAAAGCAAGGAGTATTTTGAGGGGGGTTAATGGAATGCGTCTTTTACTGTAATAATTTTGTAAATATACTGTAAGTTTAGATCAGTCCTTGCATAAGTAAATGCATTGTGAGACTTTTTTTTTTAACACAGTATCATGCTTTATCTTAAAAAGTAAGGGGATCCTGGGGTTAAGCACACAAAGCACCTGCTAATTTTCTGCCCAGACCTCACTACTTGGAGAGCTGTTAACATAGTAATCATTTTGGGATCACATTTGTGTAAGCTGATATGCTAAAGTTTTTGAAGAATTTTTATTTTCATTTTGTTTTTGGCTAAAATAAGGGAAAGAGTATTTTGTGCCAGGACCACAAGGAAGAACATGGAAGATAAGGACAGTAGGAGGGAAGAGGTAAACCCCATTGTCCCTATTTCACTACTCCCAGCCCTGAGCACTGGTTTTCAAGCTCAAAGGGCAGAAGCTGCAAGTACCATTCCCTGGGAAGGTGCCCCGTGGCCAGCGAGGAGGAGCATCTGCCGAGAAAGTACCTGCAACAGAACAATTTGCAGGCACCTTGATAAGGAGGCTATAGCTAAAGCAAAACGAAAATGTGAGCGCACAAGATCCTCATGACAAGTAAGAGAATCTCCAGAAACTCCTGGAAGTCACTAGGGGACATTACGGGCAGCACCGAGGTTCTGCATGCCGGCAAGTAAGGATTAAGAGCCCAGGATAGGGTGGGCCTTGCATGTGAAACAGAACATGACAGAGATTTGATACGATCATTGACTAAAAGGATCTGTGTTCATTCAGTGCAGTGTCATCGCTGGGCCAGAGGACACACGAAATTCCTTTCCCAGGCAGTGGGTCAGCCCTTGTCCTGTCATAACCATGTACATCTCCTAGAGTGCGTGGGAAATTCAGAGAGTAATTCAAAGGCTCCGTTGAGGAGGAGTCAGAGTAACAAGAGAATATTCAAGGAGGGATTCTAGCCCAGCTCAAGGGATTGGGAGTAGGAGTGGGACGAAGCAGCAGTTTCCGGAAGAAAGCAATGTGAGGCTGAGGTGCCAGAGGCACCAAGAGATGGGACGACATCCAGGAAGATGGCAGAAAGAGTGCAGCGCCTCGCCAATGCACACAAGTGAGCCCTGTGAGGTGGTCATTGAGTCTTGACCGCAGACTGTACCCTTCCATGAACCTGAGCTACCAGCCCTCCGCAGCTTTATCCCGCATGAATTGTGCTCCTTCCTTATTTTTGAAAAAACTAACCAAAATTTGAATGGAAATTAAACAATATGTCTTCACCGATATTTTTAATAATAGTGTATGTTTTATCCCCTGTGAAATGGGCACTGCACTAAAGGGACTACCTAGGGAACAACCCAACTAACGTGGTTTAATTCTTCTAGAAATTTAGAGGGAAAGAGACACGCAGGTGTAAAGAGGTAAGGAGGAAGGGAGAACCCTGAGGTCCTCTGCTTTCCCCAGCACTAACTTCCCTAGAGGCAGTGAGAGAGCTGATTAACAAACACCCCTTTGCTTTCAGCCCCTTTCACAGTTTGAGTTCCTTTAGGTTTTAGCTAAAATAAGATAAAGGAGGTTTTGTGTCAGGATCACAGAAAACGAACACAGAAGATAAGGACAATAGGACGGAAGAGGCAAACCATTAAAATCCATTGCTTAACGAAGTGACCGCTTGCTACTGGTATATCCTCTCTTCTCTACAGCGGGTCCTCGCTGCCTAAAGCTGGAACATGGGGCTATCGTGAGTGCATTCATCACTTGTTAGGATGAAGCAGGTTGTTTAAAATACCTCGGGGCTCACAAAGTTTGATGACGCTTGTGTTTGTGCCTGCCTGGGTCTCAGTCCCTTAACTCTGGTGCCGCTCAGAGCTACAGGTGCTTCTAGTGGGGCTGCACCTTTGTCCCCCCACTCAACTGACAGAACCAATCACAGATCTACACGATGCACCTGTCATTTCACTAGTTATATTTTAAATTAAATTTTCTACCACATAACAGTAATTCAGGCAATTTGGAAACAAGTGGAAAAAAATTCAGAATGTTGATCAGTTCAGCATGTTCATTCTTATGACAATTTTGAAATTTGATGTGAGAAAAACTAGTTCATTTCACAAATTTTAATAATTTTGTTGGGGAGAGTTGCTGAAAGGGAGACTCAGAGAGGAAACGCACCAATTATTCGCCATGCAGACATAGCTCTGTCAGATTTCAAGTAGCTTCTTTTTTCTTTTCTCTTTTC